AATATATTAAAAAATTTTAATCTTTTATGTAAATTCTAAATTTATTAATTTATTAATATGCATAGAGGAAAAAAATTAGATAGAGAAAGATTCAATGCAATTTGTGTTCATCAAAAATACAATATACCTATTCAAAAATAGGATAAAGGTCTAATGCTCGTAATATTCTATCTAATAAATGTTAAGGTAAATTAAAATATTATAAAAATACGTAGTACTGATGTTATTTTTATGTTATATTTATCTTTATATTAATAATTTAAATATTTATTATTTATACAGCTAATGCATAGGTAAAATCAATTTTTATAAAATGTAAATTACGATCTACTAGTAAGAAAGGATCTAAAAAAGGGAATGTAAATAACTCTGATACTGAAGACGAAATTTCTATTAATCATAAACAAAGTGCAAAAAAAAAGCCTAGAAAAAGCATTGTAGTTAATTCTGATACTGAAAATGACAATAAGAAGAATGAGTTAACTTTAAGAATTAGTGAACTTAAATATAAAGAATAGATTCTGGCTTTAAATGAGCGTGAAATTGATCTAAGAGAATGAGAGGCTAAAGTCTATTTAATGGAACTATCAAATTTTGAGAAGAAGCATGAGTTAGAATTTGTTAAATTTTGAAAAATCAAATTTGATAAATATTTATTCGTTAAATGCTATAAATATGTGAAAGAAAATTTAATAAATAAAGTGTTTATGAAATATAAATTAATAACAAAAACAATCTTAAGTTAGTAATAGATTTATGCATTTATTTGCTTCACAATATGTAGATCTTAGTACTTTTTATTTTTTCTTTGTAAAAGAATTTATATATTTCAGTATGAATTTTAGCATTATATAAAAAAATTTTTTAATTAATTTTAAAATTTCGCGTTATAATACTAAAAAGCAATTGTGTATTAAATAAAAAAATATACACTATAATAATATATACAACACAGTTTGAATGTTTAATATATATATAATTAATATTTAAACTATGTGTTGTATATAATACACTATTTATTTTTACGTTATATACTACACAGTTAATTGACCTTACACTATAAGTTTTCATCTTACCAGCAGTATATAGTGGATAAATCATACATTCATCATAGGTTTGAATATATTTTTTAATATATTTTAAAACTTAATCAACTGAGTGTGAATATACTTTATGGTATATAAAAGAACTATTAACTTACTGAAACAACTATTAGATTACTATGTAAACTTAAAAGAATCATCACTCGAACACTCTGTCTAACTGTCGTAGTTCGCAAAAATTACACATTAACAATATTATTAAATATTTAAATATTAATAATAAATATTAATCAATAAATTATTTGATTTATAATCAATTTATAATAAATACTGATTACTTTTATTATACATATTAAAATTCAGATAATAAATATATTATAATTAGTATAATTACTAATTAAATAACATTTTATTTGTATTTAATTTTTAAGAAAGTTTTAATAATTCAAGTAAAAAAGAAAATGAAATAATAATTTTTGAATTAAGTTCTTTACTTGAAATATAATATTTTAAAGAGAAAATTTATATAGAAAAATTAAAAGAGTGGTATAATTTTTTTTATCAAATTATGATGATATTAGGTTTAAAAAAAAAAATAAAATAGAACCTTATAATTTTCAAAACTTATATCAATTTTATATACTTATCAAATTTTTCAAAATAAAGTAGCAATTCTTAAATTTTGTTAAACTATAATTTATAGTTTTTTTAAAAAGGATTAATTTTAAAGAAAATATTTTTAAAATATATTCAAGATTTAGTATAACTAAAGAAACGATTTATTTATATTTAAAAAAATAATAGCTGCAATTTTTTCATTAAAAAAATTTAGTTAAATAATCAGTATGTAAAGCAAAGTAAAATATATATAAAAAATTTAAAAATATTAGTAAAATGGTCAAAATAATAAGAGTAATAAATGGAAGTTATGTAATATTAACAAATGTTCTATTAAAATAATTTGAAATATATTGAAATAGAAAAAAAATATTCTATATAATTGGAATTATAGATTATAAGGATATATTTATAAATTATAAAATTAGATAACCTGATTCAATTCATAATATTAAAGTATAGAGAATTTATATTTTTTTTTAAATATTTCTAAAATTATCAAAAGAGAAAAAATTTATTTAAAGATTCAAAATATCCTTTATTTACTTTTTAATTAACCTTTTTACAAATTCTCAAATTCTTTCACATATTCAATTTAATATAATTCATTTCTTATATAAAGTAGTAATTGAAAATGCTTTTAGTAGATTTAAGAATAGATTTATTTTTTTAAAAAGTTTAAATATTAGAAAGATTTTTATTATAATTATATTAAGATTGTAAATAATAAATCAAATTATTCAATAAATTAAATAATAATTTGTTTTGTAATATATAAAAATAATTTATTAATAAATTGTTTTTTATTTTATAAAAATGCAAATATTTTATATATTTTATATGATCAATAAATGTTATAAAAATATTTTATAAGTTTTTATTATAAACATCAATAAATATTACGCAAAATATTTTATTATAAGTATTAAACATTATATAATAAACATTACATAATAATTATAAAAAAAACAAATTTAGTTTAAATTTTTTTTATATTATATTTCTTTCAATTTTAAATCAAATTTCATTTTATTTTCTTCTTTTCAAATTTTCATTTTTACTTTTTCATCTCTAATTTGCTTATTTCAATAATATGACTTTTTTTTTATTTTTTTCTCTTTCTAATTCAATTCTTTTTTATATTTTTTTTTAGTTTTACTAGTAATAATAGCAATTATAATATAATTTACATTACTTTTCTTTTGTTTTTTATAAAGTTTAGATTTATTAATTATTAATTCTTCATTTTCAATAATATTTTTATTTGCTATAAAAAAGAAGCTATATTTTTACTAGTATTAAACATATTGTCTATTTTTTTATACTATTTTTAATTTTTCTCTTTATGCTAGATTTTTTATTGTGTTTTTTAATTTTATTATAAGTTTTAATCTTTTTTATCAATTTATTTTTAATAGCATTAAATTTCTTATTTTTCAATATTTTTGCTAAAATTTCATTAAATATCTTTGATTTATTACATTTTTTATATTTATTAAAATTATCTGTAATATATTAATTTAAGAGGTTAACTTCATAATATTATCAATTATTATTCAAGTTATTAATTAGATTTATCTAAATCTAATTAACATTTAGTTGATTTTCTTTTATTAGAAATTTCTGTAACCTTTGAATTAATTAAAAATTAATTAATATAAAAAATAATACTTTATAATTTAATAAAATAATTTAATAAAATACTTACTTTTAATATTTCTTTAAAGTTTTTTTTTTAGAAATTTTCTTTTCTTAATTAAAAACTCATATTCTAAAATACTTTTCTGAAATTTGATTGTAATAATTTTGGTAAAAGATTTTGATAAAAAAATTTAAAAAAAGCTAAATTATATTATTTAAAGAGAGAAGAAGAAGTACAAATCTCTCTGTTAGATTTATATAACAGAATATTTTTTTAGAAAAACTTTTTTGAATATTTTTTTTAAAAAATCTATTGGTAAAAAGAAGTTAAAAAAAATAAGACATATTATATTATATATTACATTATATATTCTCTATTTTTAAATTATATTATTCAATTTTAACCAGATTATTTTTTGAAATCAAAAAACTATCTTTTTGATTGATTATAAAGATCAGTTTTTAACTATACATAAATTAAATTTATTGGCTAAAATTTTATGTAGTCTAACTAAAAATACCAATTGATTAGATATGAACTAACCTATTATTAAACATATATAATTACTATTTTAATTACACAGTCAACTTTTAATATAGCGAACTTTTGATATAATAAATTTTTTGAACAAATATAATAAAAATACTCTTGTTATAGCAAATTAACTAATTAAATCTCTTAAAATCTTCATTATAATCTTATAGTAAAGTTAAGATCTAGGATATAGAATTCGTTATAACAAGAGTTAATTGTATAATTGTTTAAAAATATAAGATTTTATTATTTTATAATATACAATATTTTTATTAATTTAATTATAACTTATTTTAATATAACTATTAATTATAAAAATTTTTCAATAATGTAATTATAAATAATATAATATTAGATAAATTTAACTATATATTATAACTTTAATACTTTTTATAAATTAATATAAGATTTATTAAAAAATAAATAACAAATTTTTATTAATTTATTTATTTTATTTATAAAAATTTTAATTATAATTATTAATTTGATAATTATATAAAAAATTTTATTTTATAAATTTAAATTTTAAATAATTAATTTTTAATTTAAAAGTTTATTATTATATATAAATAAAAATTAATTATTATTTTTAAATTATATAAGATATATTAAAATATATAAATAGCTTTTGTAATTATAATAATTATTTTATTTTTAAATATATTAAAAGATATTTAAATAAAGTATAAAATATTTTATAATAATATTTTTTTTTTTAAGTTTATTAAATTATAAATTATAAATTATTAATAATATAATATATAAATCAGTAATATATAAATTTAAATAAATATATAAATATTTATGATAAAATCATATATAAAAAATATAAAAAAAAATATATATACTTTTTTTATTTAATTTAATTTAAAAAGAAGTATTATATTTAGATTTATTCAATATCTAATTTTTCTAAAATTAGAATTCTTTTTAAGGATTTTATTAACTTTTTCTAAATTTGGTAAAGCCCAAATTTTTGTATTAAATGTTGATCGGGTCGGAATAATAAATACCATCATTTTTTTTTTTAAAAAAAAAAATTTTTTTATATTTATTCTATTCGACTTAATTTAATTATTAGTTGTAAAAAATGATAGATTTAGGTCGATTGTTTATAATAGGAGTAACGTTTTTAATAAGTTTCCTAGCATATACCTCTCAAATTTTTATATTTTGGGATCATTTAGGAGGATTAAATGTAGATTGTTTAAAAGTACTAATACCATTTAATGTTTGTGTGATAATGATTTTTTGGAATTATTATCTAACATGTACTACAGATCCTGGTAGAGTACCTAAAGGCTGGGTAGGATATCAAAGAATTTAAAGGGGGACTTGAAAATTTTAACCATTTAATGAAACAAATTTTTTATTATATAGTATCCGGAAGAGAATCAAGAAAATGTCGAATTAAAGCGAACGACACGCGCTCCAAGATATTGTAAGACATGCGCTGCATTCAAGCCACCAAGAACACATCACTGTCGTACTTGTAAAAGGTAAAGTCGCAAAATGTTGAAACAATCGTTTTTAAATGATGATTATTAATTCATGATTTGTTTCTATTTTTTTTTTTTTTTTAAAAAAAAAAAAATATATATATATTTATATATTTTAGATGTGTATTAAAAATGGATCATCATTGTAGGTTATAAACGTTGAATTGATTTTTTTTTATAATTTGAAATTTGTCAGATAATTTAGTTAATCATAATCCAATCTTGTTAATTTTTATTAAGGTCCATGGACCAACAACTGTGTGGGACATTATAATCATGGGCACTTCATCAGATTTGTATTTTGGGTTGATGTAACATGTACATTTCATTTTATATTAATGATAAGAAGAACTGCAAAAATCATTCAAGATATGGCTTATTACAGGGTAAATATCGGGATAATTTATTTGTTCGAGTTTAGTCTTTACCTTTATTAATAAATAAATCTTTGCATTGAAATTAATTAGGTTGATAGTGAACCTACAACAACGGAAACAATCTTTTTAATATTAAATTATATTGCAGTTATACCGGTATTATTTTCAGTTGGTATATTAAGCTTATATCATTTTTATTGTATGTTATCAAATACCACAACAATTGAAAGTTGGGAAAAAGATAAAGTTTCAACAATGGTCAGGAGAGGAAAGATCAAGGAGGTATTAACAAAAAAAAAATAATCATTTTTTTGGACTTTATTAATTTCTTTTTCGAATCTAAAAAAAATTGTTATTATTATTATAATTATTTTAATCTTTAGATTGTATTTCCTTATGATATAGGAATATATAAAAATATCAAATCAATACTTGGGAATAATCCATTATTATGGTGCTTACCACGAAAAATGCATGGAACTGGATTATCTTACCCTGTAACTAAAGATGCAGGTAATAATGATGAGAATGATTTGGTTTTGGACATTGTATCAAAGAAATATTAAATAATAAAAGATAATTTTATGAAAGAAAAAGGCGTGATGTTTCATTTGAGATTGTAAACGTTTTGTGGAGTGGTGAAGTGACGTTTAAGCAAATAAATTTTTTTTTCTTTTGAAGAATAAAGAAATTTTAGACTTTAACTAACTAATCAAAAAAAATTTTTTCTTAATAAAAAAATTCTTATAATATAAATTGCAGATCCAACAATATGGCCACCAAAAGATCCAACTTTACCATTATCAAATTCAGCGAAACCATGGAACGATAATAAGGAAGGTGATGATATATTTGTTACTGATTCATTGTTAGACAATGAAATCAAGAAGAGGAGAAGAAATACTAGAAAAAGTACTAGTAGCGATATAATAATACAACAAAATGGAGGAGAATTTAAATATTCACAGAGAAAAATTAGGAGGGATAGTGAAGGATATATTGTTAAAGATATTACTTTGGAAGAAAAAGGACATTATTATGGTGAAGAAGGAGTAGAAGATGACTTTGATAGTGAGGGTAGTGTTATTTATCCTAGTAGTGATGAATACTCTGATGACATTAGTGAAAGTGAATATGTAAGAGAATATGAAAATGATAATCAAGTTGTTGATGATGTTGATGATCATTCAGAAAGCATTGATTCTAAACGTTACAAAGAACTATATCAAAATCCATATGAGGATGACGATAATTTACCTATTGGATTAATGATTGCTAAAAAACAATTAGAAGCCATGAATGTCACATCGGATTTTCAAGCTCATAACCATAGTAATGAGGATGACGATAAAGTTATGGCATATACAATTAACGATAATAATGAAATGAATGATATGAAAAAGAGTTAATTATTTATAATAATAGAATTAGACATATAATTAGGTTATGGAAAATATTAATAGTTATAATTCAATTAATCATAATAATATCATCATTTAATATCTTTAGCCGGTTGATGATAATCTTTTACATTTTTACTTAATTAATTTAAAGATTTGAGATATGTAATAAAAAACCAAATTTATTTCATGATATTATACAAATGCACAAATAGAGAAATATATAGCAAAGAAATCAACAACAAAAAAGAAAAAAAAATGAATGAATCATGATTTTTTTGTTTTTCCGTCGGATTTAATGGTGGTGGTTGCAGCTTTACCACCACTACGATGTTTATGTTTCTTTTCACCAGTTTTATCAAATCTTTTTACTATCGCTTCAATTATTTTAAAAAACCAAAATGCATTTAAACAATTTAATATAATATTCGACGTTCCATAAATCACACATAAAAATGTTGGTACTTGGTCAATCACTGCAATAACCGATCCTGTGAAAAGAAGAAAAAAAAAAAATAATCAACTAAAAGGTTTAAAAAAAAAAATGAGAATTCCAAAAAAAAAACTTACGGAATGTGTGATAAGACATGTAAAATCCAAACATAATCCTTGCACAGAAGAACGTTACAATTAAACATATTCCATTAATTAATTGTGGTAACGTTCCTGTCATTCCCAATTTATCCTAAAAAAAAAATTACACATTTATATATATATATATTTTTTTTTAAAAATTAAATTTTTCTTCTTTTTAATTTCAATATTTACTGCTGTACATACCATAAACCAATGTATGTTTACAAATGGAGTCGAAATTTCAAACATCAAAAATACCGCACCATAATAATTCAAAAATGGTCGCTTGATAAAAAAAAGTTTGTCTCCATTAGAAATCATATAGGGGATTCGTTTTTAATTTGATACTTACGTAAGCAAACAGGAAGACACCAAAACAGCACGTTCCATGTAATACAAATCCAATCCCGGATTCCTTCACATGATAAAGAGACACCATAGCATCCCAAAGGAAATATCTAATAAATAAAAAAATAATAATAATTATTATTTTTTTATTTTGAACAAGTTTTTCTTTACAGGAATTTTCACTAATAACTCACCCACAAGCAATAGCATAAACATTCCCAGCATAAGTATCATAGCCAAAAACTTTATCATTAATCAATTCCTCATCCCAAAAAATGGGTATAGATAATATAACAACTAATAAGCAATTAATCGAACTAACAAAGTGTATATCCCAATTAAACCTTTTGATGCCATATAAATTTTTATAGGTTTTTGGAAAAATTATTGGAGAAATTATACGAGAAATTACAGCCGCTAAAGTAAATCCTAATGTAGATAACAACATAACATGCCAATGATAGGTTAATTTTGGTAGTGAAATTGAATTAAAAAATGACTCAAATAAAAGTGGTTGTTTATTTTCCATGATGGGTGATGATATTTATTTTAACAAGTTGTTGAAGTAAAAGAAAAAAAAAAGGTAAAACTGACTGTATTTATTAAGTTTTTTTGAATTGTATTGATTGTATTACAGTTTGTACGTGATTGATCTATACGAAAAAAAATGCTTTGGGGCAATTGCATGTAAATCATCTGATTGAAATCGTATTATTTTTCCATTCGGAATTGTAGTCGGAAATACAATACGAATCCCTCTTTTTTGGGGGAATTGGTAATCAGCTATTACGAAATATTTACCGAATATATTATCAAAAATTCTTAGGTCACACGATATTATGATCATGTGACACACACAAAGAAAATAATTTTAGAAATGGAATCCCTTAAAATGAACTGCGGGACTGCGGGAGGCTTAAAAAGGCTATTAGAGAAAATTGATAATAGATAAGGTTTATTTATAATTCGGTAATGTAGATCAAATATTTATTGGTTTCAACATTATTTGACTAATAATGTGCTCCTTTTTAATATGAATGAGGATAAAAATTATTAAAATAATCCCAAAAGAAAATAAATAAATAAAAAAAATTCTATTATTGTTTCATACTTGATCTAAAAAGCAATTTGTTGTTTGCAGTAGCTTCTTTGTATTCTTTCACCAAACTAGAAATATCTTTGAACTTGCTGTCTTTGGAGTCAACTAACAATTGAAACAGGACAGATTCTGATGTTGTGACTACTGCTCCTACTTGACGCATTCGCTATTAAAAAGTACAAAAGGTAAATAAAATGAAAGTTCAAAGAAATCGAAGGAATTCAAATCAAAAAATCACTCACTTGCAATGCAATATCGACTTCTGGAAGGTGAATAGATGAGATGCCATCTTGCAACACATGGACATCAAAACCATTCTCCAATAAATCTAAAGCTGTTTGTAACACACACACATGGGCCTTAGGAAAATAAAAAGTTATATGTAAATTATCTAACATTATAAGATAGTAAATCGGATGGATTTTTCATACCTCAATTCCAAAAAGTACAACAGATCTTGGTTTTATTTTGGTTATTTCAGTTATTTCGTCCAACTTACTTTTTATCTCTTCGGTATACATTGAAAATTTTGTTTTTTCACGGACATGAATGAGTTTATGTTCATTATTATTAATATCAATTTCAGTAACAGTATTTCCAAGAGCTATAAATGAAAAAAATAATAATTTAATTCGTGATCCATTAGTTGATGGGAAGATTTTATCTTTTTGTTAATTTTACATCATAAAAATTTGCAATACTTGCGTATTGCGTATTAATTTACAATACCTTTTGGATTCTTTTTAGGACAAATAGTTGTTAATTATTAATTAAATTAATATAATTATGTTAAATCAAATTCAAATTCAAACCTGTTCAGAAACAATCACAGGAATCTTCAAAATTCTCGATACATTAACCATTTTTTTGGCAGTTGATACTAAACTTGTAAATTCATAAATATGAGGTCTGAATTTTTCTTGAATATCACAAAGAAAAAAAATGGTAGAATCTTTAACTAGTTTCTTAACACTAATAGAAGTCATGGTGAAGAAATTTTTTTTATTCAGTGAATCAAAAAATTTCTGCCGATATTCTTAACTGTGCGACAGAACTAAATGATCTACAGAATTATTTAAAAATTTCGATTTATATAATTTTAGCCAAAATTAATTCATAATGCTATAATTCTATAGTATTTTATTATTTGCGATTGAAATATAAAATATTATGCATCCGAAGAGAATCTTGACTCAGATTTTCTCTATATTCATTCAAAATATTATTATAAACATAAAAACTACGTTCTATACTACAAGAACAAAGTGGGAACCAAATATAATCTAAAGCGATTTGACTTAAAAGGAAAGATGAACTTTTTGCCAAAATTCCTCTAAATTTGAATATTTCACCAGAGACTATTTTAATTTAAATATTTTAAAACTGGTATAATAAATTACTTTTAATTTACAGAATATATATTTCTAAATTATCAATTAATCTTAAAAAATTTCTAACTTTAATAACAAGTTATTATAATTTAATAATTAGTGTTGTTAATTGGACAATTGAACAATTGAACCAATTGTACTAATACCAATTAATTTATTTAAATAATTGGACAATTGGACAATTGGACTTAGTCCAATTCCAACTAATATTATTAATTAATAAAATTAGTTTATTAAGTTTTATTATATAATTTTATTTATTAAATATTATTAAAAAAAATAAAATATATATATAAAAAAACGTTATTATTAATATAAAATATTAAATCTTTATTAATTAATTTTCACCTACAATAAAATTTTCAAAATAATTTGGCAATTCTAAATTTTCAATAAAAATATCACTCAATTTCCATTTAGCTTATACTTCAATAGCAGAATGTTGTATTTATTTAATATTATCAACTGAAATATTATATGTATCAATAGTATCCATTATTTCATTCTCTTGATCTTGTAATTCATCTTCAATCATTTTTAACCAATTTGATACTATTTTTTTTCAATCATTAATTGAAGTCAATGATTGTATATATATATTATTAAAATCTTCATTATTATTAATTTTATCATCATTATTTATATTTTTATTATCAAAAAGAATAAAAGTTTTATCATTTTTAATATTAAATTCTATATTATTTGATTCAAAAATAATAGGAAAATGACTTATAGTTATTTTATATTTTTTGTATGAAAATCTAATTCTTAAAGTTATTGTTGTTTTTATATATTAGTATGAATTTGTATTAGGTCTAATACTTTTTCTGTCTAAATATTAAAAAAAAAAATAATAATATAATTAATTTATAATTAAAATATAAAATATAATTAATATACTTTTAAACAATTTTTTTCTTTTAGAATGATACCATCCCATTGTTGAAAATATTCTTTCTAATAATGTTATTGATATAATAATTAAAAAATTCATTAAGTAACTCTATATAATTCTTTTGAATAACCTTTTATAAAATTTCAATAATTTAAAATATTATTTTAAATTATTTAGAAATAGATTTAGTATAAAAATATTTTTTTGATTAATATTCTTTAAGTTTAACTAATAAAATTTTTGGTTCTTTCTGAAACCATATATAATAATAATATAAAATCCATTTTGTTAATGTAAAAATAATAAATTTGAAATTACAGGATTAAATTTTGAGTTACGATAAAATATATATAATAAGAATGCTAATAATAAAAGGGTTTACTTTCAATCTTTCCATCATTTTTCAAGTCTTATAATAAGATTAATAGATAATTCCTGATCATTAAATATTTTTAACATCATAATTATATTACCAAATCTATGAAGAACTTTATGTATCGTGAATTATAATATTAAGTATAGCATAATATGAAACTAAAAAAGTTTCAATTTGTTTAACTTGAATCTACCAATCATTATCAAAAATATAATTCAAGATTTTAGTAAGAAAATTATAAGTATCAGATATAACATTTTTATCAATTTTTTAGCAAGATTCTAAAAATAAATTAAAATAAATAAATTAATAAATAATTTATATAATAGAAATAAATTTATATAATATTAAATTATACTTACATGCAAAGCTACTTTTATTTTTAATAAACTAGCAAAATAATAATAATGTGAATTTTAATAGGTAGTTACTAGAGTTATCAATATAATATATTTATTATAAATAACTGATTGTTTATTTTGAAGGTGTTTAAGCTATACTTTTAATCAATTAAAATAAGTGATTAAACTAATAACTTGTTCAGTTATATCACTTAAACTTAATGTTTCTTTAAAAATATTATTTAATACACAAATTTATTTAATGTGCAAAATATGATAAAATAATTTATTGTAATATTGAAAACATAATTTTTTCTAAAATTAAATATAATAAATATAAAATAATTATTTAATATTATTAAATACAATATTAATTTATTAATAATTTAAAATACCTTACAGCAGCATTTTCTGAAGCTAAATCAGTAATTAATCTATTAATTTTAATTTGTTTTTGTTAAAGTTATTCAAAAGATCTTTTTATTTTAGCTATTATAATATTACCTATACCTTTTTTCTACTAATATCTTCAACTTTTCAAATAATCATATTGTCCTTTGAAGTAAATAGTGGTATGCTATATTCTTCAAACTATTAAAAGCTAATATAATACCAAAATTATCATTAATAATATTATTAAGAATTTTTTTTGAAATTTTATTAGCAACTTTTTGAGAATCTGAACACTAAGTTAGTTTTAACTTGGTAAAAATAACATTAAATTGATCCATTTGAAAAGTTCTTTAACTGCTAGATTTTCAATCTAGCAAAAGGAAAACTTACATATAACAGTAATATTTAATAATAAATTTTAAATAATTTGATTTGTTTAAGTCTTAACTTATAATAAGTATAATTATTAAGCGGTTCATAACTTTGAAGAGAAAAAATATTAGAAATGCTACTAAAACTATTTAAATGCATTACTTTATAGAAAAAGTTATTCAAATTAGATAGCGGTATATAGAAAGTTGAGTGATCATTCTTTTTAACTTTATCTTCATTAACATAATTAATTTTATTTATTTATTATCAATTTGATTTTTTTGATTCATATTCCTTTGCTTTTAGAAGTATAGAAAGGGTTTCTTTATGAGTATATTTTTCAGTTTAATAAGAATAGTTTTTTATATGTTTTGCACATGTTCGCTTAGTATTAGTAAATTTTTGCTTAATAATTTCTTCCTGACCTAAAATCTGAATACATTCTTGACAAATAACAAAGTTATTCCATCTATTAGATTTTTCTTTTAATATCAAAAAATATTCATTGAATATGTGTTTTCTCTTATTCTATTTAAAAAAAATTGAGTAATTAGCTAAAATATTTAAATTACAAAAAATAAAAATAATTAATTTATCAATTTACTTTAAAATCATAATATAGTTTTATTTTTCAAAATAAAATATTCTAAAAAAAAATTACATATAATACTTTTATGATTGATGATAGTATTATAAATTAAGTTTTTAATAGAATATTAATAAATTTTTATAAGATAAGTAAATTCTGATATTAAATTATTAAAATTAATAGTTATAGTAGCGGTTATAAGTATCTGACCACCTGAGATCATCCAAAATTATTATATAACTACCCCTTAAATTTTCCAGAAATATAATGTAACACAATACATGATTACTTATAAATTTATAAGTGTCAATGATACAAAAAAAAAATTTAGATGATCATCAAACTTTCGCTTGAAAAATGGATTTTTTTTAGAGAAACTATATGAAATTGTCTTTTTACATGAACACCCAGCTGGTCCAAAGTTTAGTTTTAGATTTATTGCTAAACAGGTACGTTGTAGTAAGTTTATAGCTATTTATTGGGTTAAAAGATATCATAAAAATCGGGACTTAAGTATTTTAGAAAGACCGAGGCAGCCTTATGTAATATCTGTGAAACAAGATAACAAGATTGTAAAGATGGCAGAGAAAGAACATAATATAACAACCATTCAAATACAAGAAAAAATGGAAGAAAGAGGTGT